AGCCCCCTTCAGATACTGGAAGGCTGCTATGAGGTCTCCACGCAGCCTTCTCTTCTCCAGGCTGAACAGCCCCAACTTTCTCAGCCTGTCTTCATACGGCAGGTGCTCCAGCCCCCTTATCATCCTCGTGCCCTCCTCTGGACTTGCTCCAACAGCTCCATGTCCTTTTTATGCTGAAGACACCAGAACTGGACACAATACTCCAAGTGAGGTCTCACGAGAGCAGAGTAGAGGGGCAGGATCACCTCCTTTGACCTGCTGGTCACACTTCTTTTGATGCAGCCCAGGACACAGCTGGTTTTTTGGGCTGCAAGCACACACTGCCTGCTCATGTCAAGCTTCTCATCAACCACCACCCCCAAGTCCTTCTCCACAGGGCTGCTTTGAATCTCTTCTCCGCCCAGCCTGTAGCTGTGCCTGGGGTTGTGCCAACCCAGGTTTTCTTTCAAACTTATCCATCACCATCTGCAAAATACATCTGCAGACAACTGTATTTCTACATCTCAAACAGATATGCCTTCCTGTGTTAACATACTCAACAGAAAGATTATGACAGGCCCAGCATCTGAAAGCTTTGTATATTACCACACACCTGTAATTTACGTAACTATGAAATGTATGGAAAAATAACTTAATTGTCATAGTTTAAAACAAAGAAGAAAAACACCAACCAACCATTAAAATCAGTAACACTAGCCATAAACTGGACATCACTGATGTCCAATAACAATATGGTGATGACAATACATGGTGACTTCATACTGAACAACAGGGTTTATCAGTCCCTGAAGTAAATGGTGATCTTTGTTTCACCAAGGTAAATCTTTTGCTCATAGGTCCATAAATTTTCATGCACTAATTCACCTTAAGACAACATCTTCCTAATATTGTAATGGCCATGAAGAATATTACGAGAACACAAAAAAGTCAGATGACTCTCCAAAGACAGCCCAACTCAAAAGTGAGGTGAGACAGAAAGGATATCAACAACAAAGTTTAATTTATGACATGTCTTCAATAGGAAAAGACTAGAGCAAAACCCAATCTTTTACATGTATGACGACATTAAATTCAAAATACTACTTCTTCAGTCCTACCTGCCTGCATCGGTCTCCTTGAAGATCCCATCCTGGTTAGGACACAATTCACAACTAGGTGTGACACCACATTTGCATGCATCACAAAACCAAGGTTCTGTGGAATTTTCTGAAGCTGAGCTCATTATCGAATCACTCTCTCCATCAACACCGTAGCAACCTGTACACATGAAGAATGAAATACCAATATAAGAAAAGTCAATTGTAGAAGTAGATAGTTGTCAGTTTTTATTTCAGCAGAAAAAATATACACATATGTATTCAGAGCAATGATACTGAGAATCCCATCAAGCTTATATTTTTGCGAAGATTGTCTTTGTGAAAAATTTTCATTTTAAAGAGATTCTAATTCTAAGAAGTGATCTGTTTTATGTGACTGTCTCAGACTGCAACTGAAAAACAAAAATAAAAAGGCTGTTTCACTTTACTACTTTAGCAACACTTGCTGTTCTTCCAGGCTACCCATTAAGAAGGAAAGTAACAAAAGAACACTTGAAGCAACCAACAAAGAAATACTTAAGGCATAGAAAAACTCAAGTCATTTTTTCAAATAACAAAATATATTTCACATTAAATGCAACAAGCTAAGGAATTTATGAGCATTTGCAAGCTTCTTTTGGACATTCCTATCTTTCTCCTTCTCTCTAGTCTGAAAATGAACATCAACTGGGGATGGGAGTGTGTGTGATTTTTTCGAGGTTGATTTTGCCAGTAGTATCCAGTCCAGAAAACACACACCACTTTTCCACTTTGCACCCATCATGCAAATCACCTAAAACAGAACCTATACATGGAAAAAAAAACCAAAAAAACCAACAAACAAACAAACAAAAAACCTACTTGCATACTTTAGGGGTTGTAGGACTGAGCTTACAAAACCGAAGTATAGTTTGCAGAGCACAGATTGACAGTTCTGAGACACCACACTGGTGAATGATGAGTATATTAAATTTTTTTAAGCATTCTCTTTTTTACCTCATTTTAAACAATGGCTAGACTCAATCGTTCAGGTTCTCCATTCTTCTTTGGTATATCCAGTGTAATCTTTATGATTCTTAAGATGTCTATGCATACTTAATCACCACAAATTTATGAAAACAGTATTTTTAAAGTGATTTAAAAGCTTGTTATTTAAATTTTGCACAAGAGTAGTATTATTACAAATGACAAAAAGGAAGATCTTGGAGCCTATCACCACAAAACTGTACTTCTGTATATGCCACACTTTGAGCGCTTATCTGTTATTCAATTAGAGAAAAATACAATCTCACTGTCAACACTTAGAACACAGTAGAGACTTTTATACTAAAAGATTAAATTCAGCTATCCATCAAATACAATGATCAAGTCAACATCTGTGCTTGCAGATCAGTTAAATTACTGAATTCTGCAATTAAATAGCAACATGATTTGTTACTTTGGTTCATTACCCACTGACTGCAATAAAACAGCAACAGTGCTCTAAGTCCCCTTGTGACAGAAACAGAGGTCTGCATAACAAACTAGAACTACATCCAGGAAATAAGCAGTAACACTGTAGGAACCATTTAAGAAATATAATCTTCCATTACAGAAGGAGGCTCATCAATAAGAATTATAATAACAAGGCAGAATATTTCCTTTCATTATAAAAGCATTCCAGAAGTAAAGGACAAGTAATGTGCAGAAGTGCATTCACAGACAAGTTTCATTATGCATATAAAACACCACAGAGCTCACACATAAGGTAACTCCATTTTCGTTATAATGAGGTATCGGCTTTAGGTAGCATTCCAGAAAGTAATTTTTTAAGTTTTAATAACACAGTCTTGAATACATGCCAGTAAAGCTACTTTCAAGCAATCACATTAACACACACACAGCCCATTGATAGAGTTAATGAATAATTAAGCATTTAGTAATTCCTTCAGACTTCTTAACATATTAACATTTTCCGAAATGTACTTACTAAAAATTACCTACCGCCATAGAAGCAGTCATCAATCCTTATGGCAAAATAAAATCAGTTTATTTCAAACACTGATGCTTCTTCACAAATTTAAAGTAATTAGATTTGCTCTTCTAACCTATGTGTCATCAGTCTGCTAAAATTAGAAAAGTGACTTCCCTAAACTGCCTTATCTTCACTGTAAAATAGTTGCCTTATTGTACCTACCAGTCATTTATACCCAATTATTTTTTTATCCTTCCTCCTAGAAAATGACATACATGTGCTGTAATTATTTTCATCCTTATGCGTTGACATTAAAATTATTTTTCTAACAATACAAATCTAGATGCCAATTTACTTTTTTCCATAACTGCCATTTAGCAAAACTAAACACCATACTGTTACAATGACCAAAAGGCGTAGTCATTAGCTGAAAAAATAGACTAAACTACCATTAATCATCAGTGATAAGTACATCAAAACAACCTAGTCCACAACAGAGCTGAAGGAAATCCAACCTGAAGAATGCCATTGACTTGGTGTACACTGCCACATAAAGCCACAGAATCAAAACTGCAAAAGAAAGCATCAACAAAACGGCTACACTCCGTGGTAGCTTTTTATACCCACATATATCAGATCATTACCTTTAACCATGAGGGGAAAAAAACTTCAGTGCAAGGTACTTGGGAAATTTTTCTTGACTAAGTAGTGGCATAGACCAATTTCAGTATGCTCCAAAATAAGTCTGAGCTCTACATAACATGTCTGGAGAGTTTACTTTCTAGGAGAAGTTAGGACTAATATATATGAAGAGTGAAACAAAACTCAGCTTTTGTGTACGTAAGATCCATACTGATAGCACAAATCTGTTGAATAGCTGTATTCATGAAATATCTGTAAAGCTAAAGCTATAAGTAAGACAGCAAATCCTGCATGTGGCTTTGACACCAAAAACTAGTACGTTTATGGAAAAAAAAAATCCTTTATGAAAAACAGCAGTTTTTCTTGCAGGCCAAAAATAGATGGTGAAGAAAAAAAATACTAGTAGATCAATTTTAAATAATAAGTCTTTCACAATTCAGAAAAGAGTGAAATAACAAAAAAAAAAAAATTAAAAAAATCAATTACAACATATGTTTGTCCTGTCTTAAAGAATCATAGACACGATGATGTCATTTGACATTAAGATGCCAGATGTGTACAGGAACAGATGTAATATTGTTTTTCAAATGTAAAAGGAACAAAAAACCACTTTATTTTACTTCAATTGAGATATGAAGGCAAAAGAAGTTTCAGAAAGAAATCCTATTGTAGAAATGTATCAATTTTTAAATTTTGAAATATATCAAATTTGAATTTTAGTCCAAGTAAGTGTATTTGGAACAATGAAAAGATTGTTACAGCATCTATCCAGGATGTGAAAGTCTAAAGTCTCCATCCAGCCCAAAACAGAGCAAGTCCCATAACCAGTGCTCTGATCACATGTGGTAGTAATTCCAGAATAAATACCTCAGTCCCTTCTGTGAGTTGCTGCACTTCTATATATAAACATTACGGTATTTATTGTACTAGCTGTCTATTAATTCTGCAGCCTAACTGCAGCAGTTCTAAATTGTTCTAACATACTGAGAAACAAAAAAACTTCAACAGTTTACAGCTTACGAGAAATGAAAACCTACTTCCTTATCATTAACTAGCAAACATAATGAAAACCTTGGCAAAGCTGAGGAATGCTGCTCATCTAGTAAGCATCTGTAGTATCAAAATTAAAAAAAAACAAATATTCAAAATTTCTCAATATACAGACTTTATTACACCCCTTGGTATCACAAGTTGCAATACCAACTGCAAACAGAAAAACTAATTTGGTCATATTAACATCATTTAAACAACAGCATCTCATACACTCGTCGTCAAAATTTAGGACCGTGGACAAAAAGATTATCAAACGCTTCCAAGCAAGCAGATGCAATTAACAGTAATGAAAAAGATGAACTTGAAGTTATAGACCGCACTTTCAGGGGCTTTCACTTTCCAATTTCAAGTAACTTTTTAACAGTCATGCTAAGGGATTAATATGTCTCTTAATAAGT